AATTAAAAATACAGAGCAAATTTATTAATAATATATTATCTTCAGAAATATAACATAACCTATTTTATTTTTCATATTACAATAATTTGTATGAGATTAAGAGAATATTTACTAATTATTAATTTTATTATACACTTACCCATGATACGAAATTCCTTTTTGACGGCGACTACCGCATAAAATGCAATAATTAACCATTTCTTAAAAACTCAATAAATATTCGATTATAAACGACTAGCGTGAATATTTTGTCTTCGGCTATGTTTATTTACACAGTTCGTTTATTCTCGACAGCCAGTTGAGGATCATACGCAGAAAACAGCAAAGGAAAGAAAAAGGAGAACACTATATCTTCTGTCTCTCTGTTACACCTTCAAATGTTAAGCTGTATTCCCCTTCCAGTAGTATAAGTTCTATGTATTGTATTTGGCCTTCTTCAGTGTATAAATAATCAAAATCAATATGTTAGATAACGCAACAATATTTGAAACTTCGCATATAATTAGGAAACAATATAGTCTAATTTTAGTACGCACGTTAATTGATAATGTGAGATATTTTTTAAATAAAAAACAACTGGAAAAGATGAAAACCGAGGCAGTCATCTTCTAAAATACGTCAGATACCACTTCATCTCATCGAACCTGTTGATTGTTATATGAATAAGCAATTTCTTTGCAAACCTCAAATATCTTAAAACGATGTTCGTTACTTGCACTTAAGATATTAACGAAACCATATACACTGCCGGCCAAAAGTTTGGATACACTTGCCTGTACACCGTTCATTTTTATTTAGCAAGATTCCACCGCTTTCTAATAAACTTTTTTGTTTTTATTAGTTAGTTAAATCTTAATTTATATGAAAAAAATCAATTTGTTTGATTTTTATGAAAAGAATTATCGAAAATATTGCTAAAGTATAACTAGTGGTAGGCAAGTTCGGTGCTCGATAAGAGATATACATGCTTACTTCAAGGTCAGTTAATGTTTTAATGTTTTATTTACGTTTTACGTAAGTCACAATGAGCATTTAAAATTGGTTTTGTCAGTATTCTGTACGGTTGAAGTGTGTCTATACATCACTAGCAACTAAGAGTTCAAAGTTTTTTAAAGTGTTTATGCACTGATCTAAAAAAATGGGAAAAAACAAAGAAATACCTATAGAAAAACGAGGTGCTATTATTGCCTTATACAGGGTGTCTGGCAATAATCGCCCCACCGGTCATATACAGGTAGAGGAGGTCAAATCGAGTAGAAAAGTCCTTTACCATTTTTTAATTTTCATAATAAGTACTGAGTAATTAACGAAAAAAGATCGGCGAATCCGCGCGAGTAAAGCGCGCGCGGTGAGAAGGACGTCCCACTGCTACGCGATCACTAGGACACAAGAATCTAGCGTTACGCGCCGCTCGTATGTTGCCATTGTCATTGTAGAGCGCTCCTTCCAACGCTTCATCGCGCGCCTAGTGATCGCATAGCAGTGGGATGGTCTTTCTCG